GAACATTTGCTGATTTGGCCGTAATTTATTACCTTTTGGTATTATAGTACCCCGACCACAAGATTCTTTACCATTGAGATTTTAGTGTGTTTTCCGATAATAGCTTTGAATAACAATAAAAGGGGAGTTGAAATCTTTTTAAGTTTTATAAATCATCCACTTAAATTGGGTTGGATTTACCAATTAAATTTTAACGATCTTAATTAAAATTATTAAGTGATTTGCTTGCTTGCTTTGTTGTACAAATAGTTTGGTAAATTAGTTCATATTTTTATCTTGCTGAGTGCGTTGTAATTGATCTTAAAGACAATAAGTGATCACGTGACTAATATTTAATGATGGAACAACATCTTGAGGATAGCTCTCCGTCAGCTGTGGGGGATGGAGTTGTTACCCAGCCTTCAATGCTGTCAATGACAATTTCAATGACAATGCCTGTGAAAAATCCTATAAACCACGTATCTACGCCTATGCCATCCATGCGGAGAACCATCATGTGGGAATTGGGGCGATTAATAAAAGGCCTTTGTTATCGTCTCAAATTAGTATTCCTAAGTCTGGTGTCAATATTGCAGAGTGGGTCCAACTTCACCGGAAGTGGAATGGGTGGACATGGGTTGAGGGTGCCCCCTAACACCCCTTGCAGTGGTAATTATGGGAAAGACCTTGAGGATAGCGACTATGTTGACCCATCAATTAATGATTCTAACCGCGATGTATCGGGTTACCAGGGGAAAAGCGGGGGTGTTTTTGAGTCTGTGTTAGGCTACGATTTTTTAAAGAATCAAAAGGCAATCCTTAATGTCGGGGACGCACTGTTGACTATGCATGGCAAAGATTTTGATTGTATATTAGAGACTGATTTGTCTACCAAGTGCCGAATTTTAATGCAAGATACTGTCAGAGTGCCTCCCATGACGGAAATGATTGTTCCCGGAAAAGTACAATGTCAACACTTGGGTGATACACCTCTGTTAATTGAAATGAATGGGAATTTGGCAGATAGAGAAAAAATTCCTCCCCTGATTATTGCCAAATCCCTTGTTGACCCTAGTCAACCTTTCATTCCAATTAGATTGGCTAATCTTAGTTTAGAACCCTTGTTCCTTTACAAGAATACTGCAGTAGCAACTGGGGAACCAATATTTGATGTGGGGAATCTCGTTGCTTCTTGTGGGGAAAAAGTTGATGTTGAAGGTGGTGCTTTTGGGGAGGTTGGTAAATCAATGGAAAATGTTACTCAGGTGGTGAAGGGCAAACTTGCTAGACTACGACCTGACCTTTTACCTCGCGACAGTGGCGACGAGCCGGAGGAGTCTCGACGCTATGATGACGGTCATTCAGAGACTGAAGATCCCCTATGCTTTGGAGCGTTCCTAACTGGGGATCCGAGAAAACGTTTAGGTCTGACCCCTTGCACTGCTGTAGCTGGCGAGGCGCTGGAAAGTGAAGCTGAAAAGTCCTTAGAAGACGCGCCTAAGGTGCACCTTGTTCAGCCCTACACAGATAGGATGAATGATTGTCCAGGGCACGCCCTCTGCTCTCATGACGATGATGTAGTAGGGTCTAAATTAGTGCCTGGAAATAACATTTGCAGCTGGTGACATTGAATACCAATCTCCCGAAAAGACGGACGAAGATATACCCAACCATTTAAGACATCTGATTGACAATTCGACAGAAAACTTGTCCGACCGTACTAGAGTTAAGTATTTTCTGTTACAAAATCAAGATGTTTTTGCAAAATCCAAATTTGACCTGGGAAAGACGGAAGTTATAAAGCATAAAATTGACACAGGGAATGCCCGACCCCTCAAACAACCTGTTAGACGTGTGCCTTTGTCTAAACAGACTGAATATGACAAGGCTTTGGACGAAATGATTGAACATGACATAGTTAAGCCATCCAAAAGTCCTTGGGCCTCACCTGTTGTGACGGTGCCAAAGAAGGATGGTAGCTATAGGTACTGTATAGATTTCAGACAACTTAATGACGTCAACATCAAAGACGCGTATCCGTTGCCCAGAATTGACGATACTTTGGACTCTTTGTGCGGTTCTAAATACTTCACTGTACTTGACTTGGCTAGTGGGTTTTGGCAGATAGCTATGGACGATGCTGACGCTGAAAAGACCACTTTCTGCACCAAACGTGGTTTGTATGAATTTAATGTAATTGCGTTCGGTTTGGCTAATGCCCCAGCCACTTTTCAGAGGCTTATGGAATGCGTGTTTGCTGGTTTGTCTCCGGAGATGTGTTTAGTCTATCTCGATGATATAATTGTATTCAGCGAGGACGTTGAAAGTCATTTGGAAAAATTAGGTCAAGTCTTTGAAAAATTGAGAAGTTCTGGGTTGAAATTGTCCCCGAAAAAATGTAAGTTGTTTCAAAAAGAAGTATCCTATTTGGGTCATGTTGTGTCTGAAGATGGAGTAAAAATTGATCCAAAGAAAACTGAGGCGATTGTGGATTGGCCTGTTCCTCGTACTGTGAAACAAATCCAGTCTTTTGTGGGCTACTGTTCTTATTATAGGAAGTTCATTCCGGGTTTTTCAGGACTGGCTAGACCCTTGTTCAAACTTACTGAAAAAGGTGTTCCATTTGTCTGGTCAGGAGATTGTCAATTTGCCTTTGAAGAATTGAAGAGACTTTATTTGAGTTATGCATTATTGGCTTACCCAGATAAGTCCAAAGAGTTTATCTTGGATACTGATGCTTCTGCCTGTCAGGTCGGTGCTGTGTTACAACAGGAAGTTAATGGTGAAATGAAAGTTGTCAGCCATTATAGCAAATCATTGTCCAAACCTGAGCGTAACTATTGTGTCACTAGATTGGAATTGTTGGCTATAGTGAGGGCTGTTAAAGTGTTTCACCATTACCTTTACGGCAGTCGTTTCAAAGTCAGAACAGATCATGGCTCTTTGGCTTGGTTGTTGAGGTTTAAACATCCTGAGGGACAGATTGCCCGGTGGTTAGAGTTATTGGGACAATATGACTTCAAAATTGAACATCGACCTGGTACAAAACATCTGAACGCTGACGGAATGTCTAGACGTCCCTGCACTGACTGTGCATATTGCGAAAGACAAGAGAAACTGGGTAGAGTTCCTGGGAAGGGAGAAACTTTGACTGATCCTGAGGTTAACTTGCTTCTTAGAAGTTTTGACATGACCTTTGACTCGAACTTAGAGCCAGAGCTTGTACATACTCCCAAATTGAGGAATCTTCCTGTTTCAGGGTGCACTTGGGCACCGGGAATATCTCTCAAAGAGTATGAAGAGGCCTTGGCTCAGGATCCATGTCTTTTAACAATCAACAATTGGCTTAAAGTGGGGAACCGACCTGACTGGGCAGACATATCAGACAAATCACCTACCTTTAAACATTATTGGTCTCAGTGGGACAGGTTCAAATTGGAACAGGGAGTTATTTATCGAAAATGGGTAGATACTGATACTGGGATCATTAGCTGGCAAATCGTGGTGCCTGAAAATATGCGCCAAACCATTTTAGAAATGACTCATGGGGCTCTTGACAGTGGGCATTTCGGGGTCAATAAATCTCTTGATCGTTTGAGGGCCAAATACTATTGGGTTGGTTTCAAGTCTGACCTTGCTAGATGGGTAGCGGGGTGCCTGTTGTGTCAGAGGAGAAATCCACCCAATAAGAAACATCGAACACCAATGAAACAATACAATGTGGGTGCTCCTCTTGAGAGGATAGCCATCGATATTTTGGGAGTTTTACCAGAAAGTCTATTGGGGAACAAGTATGTGGTATCAATTGAAGATTATTTCACAAAGGTCCTGGCATTGGTTCCCGTCCCTAATCAAGAAGCTGCCACAGTGGCAGAAGCTCTGCTGCACCATTTCATTTGTATTTATGGGTCACCTCTTCAAATTCATTCCGATCAAGGTGCCCAGTTTGAATCAAAACTGTTTAAAGAATTGTGTGAAATGTTCCGCATGAGTAAGACGAGAACGACTCCATATCATCCACAGTCTGATGGTATGGTAGAAACATCAAAAAGGACTGTGGAGGCTATGTTGTCTAAAATTGTCGCATCCGATCAGCGGGACTGGGACCGATGTCTCCCCTTTGTTGTTTCTGCTTACAATAGTGCTGTTCATGCTACTACTGGCTACAGCCCAAATTTTCTGATGTTCGGAGGTTCGGACCTCCACCGATCTGTTGCTCGGGCCTCCTCCTGAAATTGAGAGGGGAGAACTTGATAGCACATGTCATACAAAATACTGTGAGAAATTACAAGAAGTTCTACTCAATATTCACGAGGCGGCTCGCGGAAATATCCAAATATCTAGTGACAGACAGAAGAGAGGGTATGATGTCAAAGCAAATTTAAAGTCATTTGAAAAGGGATCACGTGTTTGGGTCCATGTACCAGCTGTGAAGGTTGGCCAGACTCCTAAGTTTGCTTTAAAGTGGCATGGACCCTATGAGGTGGCGGAGAGAATAGATGATTTAAGGTATCTAATTAAAATTAATGAGAGAGATACAAGAGTCATTCACCATGATCGCCTCAAAACATTCATATCACAAAATACTAATGAGAGTCTAGATCAAGAAACTGAAACCCCTGTTGAGGATTCCCAACCCTCAGATTTTAAGAATGCTCCTGAAATTAAAGAAAATGAGACTGAAAATTCTAGAAGGCAAAGGACCCGAAAGAAACCTGAGTGGCTAACTGATTATGTTATAGAGTAGTCTCACTTCAGATTTCATAAGTCGAGTCAAGTGTCTTAATATCCCTATTATGTGCATTTTTCTATATTACTTTCAAAGTAATTCAATGTGTCTTAGCTTGTGCTTATAGCTTATACCCATTTTTATAACTTTCTTTTCGACCATTCAAATAAAGAGGATTAACTTTTACTGTAAAGACTTGAATAGATTGAAGAGAATGAGAAGATGTTCATTCTAGTTCAATATTGTCAAGTATATATGTTTTAATTAAACACTAAGAAAACTAGTACCTTGAGGCCCTAGGGGAGGTTCGTATAAAAATACTTAAAACCTTTCTAGTAGGGTATAGAGGGTAAGAGTTTTATCTTGTTGTAGGTGTGCCAGATGCCGTGGAAGCGCCCGAAAGGGTGGCCGGGACCTCGGCCATACCGCTGTTTGGCTCAGTTCGTAGTGAAGAGTGACTGGGAGATCCACAGAGCTAATGCGCATGATACCACCGTGGCCTGCGGGGTGGGCAATTGCCCCCAGTTATTCGCCCCTAACAAAGCCGAGGAGCTTGCCCTCCATCGGCATAGGCACGTCGTCGTGAGTGAGGCCGAGGGGGAACCTCCTAAGAAGAGGAAGAGGTCAGAGCCAGCAGAACCAGAAGCGATCCCTGAGGCGAGAGTGAGGAGTTTGGTCGGCAGTGAAGACCCCATGCTAGCATCTTGGTCGAACCAGTTTACGGAGGCGGAGGAGGCAGCCCTGTTAGAAGGGCCGGACGTCCCATTGGAAGAGTTGGCAGAGTTAGACGTTACAGAGTTACTGAACTACTTATAGACGTTGATGAGTTCTAATACATACAGATACATTTGAACATTGATAGCATTAATGGGTTCTGATACAGACAAATAACTCTGGACATTAACACGCAACAGTCTAGTGATTACAGTGTCTATAGTAGTGTTTTCTTTCTGTTTTTGGTCTGAAGAATGAATACATTGTTATACCCTTAAATTCTTACTTTCTGTGATTATGGCACTATTAATTGTTGCTATCTTGTGATAACAATGATGATCTTATTTTTGCGGTTGAGGACAACCATTAATTTTTAAGAAGGGGGTAGTTGTAGAGACCCACCCTGTATATAGCTATTTATAATATCATATTTAATAAGTGTGTGCCCCTTTAATATCTATAATCAGTATCTAATCACATCATGTCCCTTTAACATGATCATTTCATTTCAAGACGTAGGTCTGAACCATCGTATCAGAGCCAGTATATTTTTAGAAAAAACCTATTTATCATTGTAAAAATTGCAGTCTCAACTTTGCGTCACTTTCCAAAGTGATTCACTTTATCAATTATAGGGAATTATTGGTCAAATTAAATCATAACTTTGGGGAAAGCAGACGACTTAGTCACGTGATCACATACGTCACATTTGAAGTCTAGATTCATTCATTAAAACTTGAGCATCTTTGTGGATTATTGTATCCTAGACAGCTTTTAACTTGAACTTGAATCTGATTGTAATTGAAAGAAGTCCATACGGGCACATTCCATTGAGTTTGCACCTCTGGTGTTTAAAATAACATCCTAAGTCTTGGACGGTTGAAAGTTCACAGCTCTTTCCCATTTATCAAAATCTCGTTCGGGCTTTTAACGCATAGCTGATGTCACTTTTCATGCTATTAGTTCCCGACTGAATTTATAGAGGGCATAAAATTCAACTTTATTACAAGATCGTTGTTGGCAATTCTGTTCTGATTTGAAGTAGTATCCCGGTCATAATTTTGAAGACATTTTATCAGACTGCAGATTTCAGCGTTATTGAGTTTAATTTCATTCTAATAGATTTAAAGACATTAAGCATTTATGTAAATTATAATCTATATAATTTAAATACTATTTATTCGCATTGTACATATATATTTCAGTTGTGACATAAAACGCAAGTATAATAGAATAGACTTTATTGAATGAATATATTTCTTGTGTGATTTACTATTAGTTGGTAGTTGGTGTGGTGATATTTAAAGTACCTAATCCCTTATTCTTTTTAGCTTGCTGTGTTGTATTTGTGTAGGTTTATATTTCACCTTGTAACCTCACCCTTTTTACACTAGACCTATCATTCTATCATATTCCTGACACCGATTCATCACTTACCTCATTAGTAATTTCTTATGAAGTACTAGTCCAATTTCCCTTTGTTCTGGCTCACGCTACCTATATTTCTATAATTCACTTCCGGATTATTGGATGGTATTTTATATAAGCGTCATGTGGCACTTGATTTATGATAGCACATCGTATAGTGATAGCTAATCGAAGCTATATTGATAAAATTGTAAAATATATTTTTTCTTACTTTTAATCCATGGGGGCGGCCATATTGTTATTTTCCGACTTCGGGAATCATCGGTAAAAATCGGCATCCACCGGAAGTAAACATTTGTGAGTAAAACAGAAAAAAAATTTCTCTCTTTTTTTCAAACTATTCAAGTCAAATCACAACCTTCAGCTTTATCTCAAATGAAATATGTTTTCAGTGGTTTCCAAGATTATATTTAACATGTTTTTTGTGTGATGAAACATTGATTTAGGTTGATATTCTTACTTCTTTCTAGATGTCGAATTTGCCCGACCACATATTTTAAAAAAAATAACTGACTTGTGAATTTTAAATGTTTGAATAAACATGTCCAAAATTGTTAAATAACAAATCCATTTTATTTGCTCCCACATTTTTATTGCACATTGATAAGAGAGAGTGTGTGTGACGGGGGGGGGGGGGGCAAGCAAACACAGACAGTCTTCTGGGTTTGCTTACCCCCACACTCCTATTCCCCAGGCCAGGGGAAGCCTGTGATATATTGATACAATTGCTGATGCTCATTTGTATTTATAGATTAGAAATTAGTTGTTGCATTTTTGTTGTTTGTTCCGTTGTGATTTGACGCCCTTTTGGTGTAATGGTTAGCATATTCAGTCAGAAATGATTGGGAGGAGTGGTTCGAATCCACATGGGCATTACATGGAATTTAAAACACCATTAATGCAACTACTTAAACAATGAAAGTTTGAATCCCAACAGTTATGCCATGATTATGCATGATATTACACATATGCTATTATCCAGTTCTTTTGACATTTTTGTTAGCTTACATTCAGACATATTGGTACTGTGTACTACTGTTAGCCTATAATAATCTTATTATGAATTTTAAATACTTTACTGCTATCAATTTTTTTTCATTTTAGATCTTTCAATTATAGCGAGATCAATAGTGCAAGAAAACAGGCAAATAGTTCATTCATGGAACGAAGCGTGAAACTTTCCACATATCATCAGAATACCATTCCCTTTGATTTAAGAGCCAGAGCCGTTTTTGTGGTCCACTAGAATGATCAAAAAATAGTAAGTACCCCCTCCCCCCAAATCCTGTGGGGGTGGGGAGAGTTAGGAATTTTTTTCAATAAAAAAATTTCTTTGAATATGGTCATACTGCAGTTTCAGTGTGCCATTTTCATGACAAAGAAGTTTTGCAACATAACAAGATGATTTATCATCGATTTTCATCATTGTTAAAGACTAGTCATGGGCGACGCCCACTTTTCATATATTGAACATTTAGGTTATTGAATCTTTATCATGAGTTGAACAAATGAATGTACTTCAGCTTTCTGGATAACACCAGATACCTTTTTGATGTTAGGTGCTATAATTAATCTTAGAATTTGACTTCTTAAAGGCTTATAACATATCACACCTCTGTTTAGAAGAAAGAAGAAAGCAAGCAACGGATGTCCCAGATCTACAACATTTATCCACTATTCTATGTACATGTATGTCAAGTCTCTATATTCTCCTCAAGAGAGCCTATGCTATAGATACAACTGTCCAGAATCTAGTTGATGAAGTGCCTAAACAGTTTGATGAATCGTGTGCTGACCAAGTGCCTAAACAGTTTGATGAATGGTGTGGTGACCAACAGAATGTACCAGTCTTCAAGCTTTGGTTTCTGATTATTCAAATTCAAATTCAAATACTGAGACTTGACTATGTGAGGGCTATAGGACAGGAGAATTTTCCTCTTTATCTCCAGATGGTTTCTCTTTGATTTTCATCATTGTTAAAGACTAATCATGGGCGACGCCCACTTTTCATATGCTGAACATTTAGGCTATTAAACCTCTTTCATGGATTGAACCAGAACCAGAAGGGCCACCACAGTCACAGGCTGCAGTATCTAAATTCTCAAGAGAGTCTATGCTAAATATACAGCTGTCCAGAATCTATATGAAGGGATTTAACAGTTTGATGAATGGTGTGCTGACCAACAGAATGTACCAGTCTTCAGGTTTTGGTTTCCTATTATTCTAATCGAAATACTGTGCCTTAACTAAGTGTGGGCTATCAGAGAGGGCAATTACCCTCTTTATCTCCAGTCAATATGGTTGCTGATTACCAGTTCACATAAGGGATATGCTACAACTCTAACAAATACATCGAGAAGTCTACGAAGCCTTCACGAAAGACTACTTCACTGTAACCAATTTAAGATGGACCTTTTCAGCCATTGCTACTGACCAGGTTCACAAGCAGAATAACAGTCTAGATACATGTAAATCAAGTGGTGGGGCTCTTTGACAACCAGACAACTCTAGTGGATGGTTGGGGGCCCTGAATTGGCCAGGCTGATCACTGAATTGAGAACAATATAACTAATGATCAAGATGAAGACCTATCTAATCATGAACAAAGTATAAGCATACAACAAAGATTCAAAGATAATGTGAAATTATTATAAGAAACCATAGAATAGATGAGAAATCCTTTCTGGAGACTTCAAATGACATGTACTCATTAGAAAACAAAGATATTGTATCCTCAATATCAGTCCAGAAGAAGTGAGTAGCTCCCATAATACTATCATTCTTTCGTGTACTTATAATTTATTTAAAAATCACGATCATCACTATACGATGTCCAATCAAATTGCAGGATATGATCATGTTCAGTGCCCAAAGGTAGATGCAATGTTACCATCAAATTGGAATTTATTAGAGATGATGTAAACAATGTATTGTAAGATGTATTATCATATCCCCCAATGCCCATTCAAGACATTTCCCCATCAACACATGAATAAGCACATCCACCATGCAGTAAAGTCTGGGTACAACACATTGACGATTAGAACAGTAGACTGATATTGTCTGTCTGGCAGTCAGTATATCATCAGAACTCAAAGTTCAAAAATAGATAGCTTTGGAAAAGGTGAAAAATTAAAGATATCTCACTTCCCATGAATTGGCAGCTGCCCTTGGACATGGTAGGGCTATGTGTCTCCCCTTATTTCATGCCCACACTGGTTCAGACACTACATCTGGATTCCACGGTTAATTAAAAACAACAGCATGGAAACATTGGATTACTTATCCGAGTTGACAAATGCACTTAAAACTTTGGCTGAAGATCCAAATAAGTTAGCCAAAGTTATGCCAATTATTGAACATTTTGTTGTGATTTTATACAGTAGAGACAACAATGAAACAACTGTAAATGCTGCAAGACAAGAAATGTTCACAAGAAAACAAATCAAATTGAGAGCATACCACCAACATAAGTTGCATGCTTTACAACAGCATATCAAACATGTTCTATTCCAGGCAGTTTATTTGTGGGGCCAATTATACCTATGTCAGTCCTCCCTTCAATTGGGTTGGGAATCCATTACCACAAAGGCTGGGAAAATGATTTGGGTGCCAGTGTGGAAAACATTGCCCCAAGCTTCAGATGCATGCCAAATGCTAGTAAAATGCAGCTGCAAACAACAATGCTCAACAAAAAGATGCAAGTGCTTTAAAGCCAATCTTGCATGTACTGCCCTGTGTTTGTGTGACAGGGATTGTAATGGACATGGCACCTAAGTCAGTGATAATGATAATAGAGTGTTGAAGTGCTTAAATGCACAAAATAGGATATTTGAACTGCAGTTAAGATACTTAATGAGGTACATGTAACTTGTATCAATTAGTCAAAGTGCTCTCATTAAAAGCCAAAATAATGTATCATTAATTGTGAATTATATATTATTATATCTTAATATCTAAAAGGTGGCGTGGCCTTTCAAAAACCTTTAACAGTGAAATTGACTTACTTACAGCATCTATCATCTTAACATAAATAACTGACTTAATCTTATCAATTCTATTCAGCCTTATTAAGTAATTATTGTATTCATTATAGAAGACTCATTAACTTGTATATTTAACATGTTGATAAAGTGGGCGTCACCCTTGGTCAGGCTTTAACAATGAATATCCATGAGAAATACTGATGCAATCTTGAAAATTGCTTTTAAACACTGAAAATAACATACTAAAAATGAAGTTAAATCATATTCAAAAAAGAAATTCAACAAAAAAATACCACTAGCTAGAAAGAATTCTTTCTGCCATGATTTTTGTAGTTAACCAAACCCTTTTGTACACAGATCTTTATTCCGAATGCAACAAAAATATGATTTTAGTTGCTCTTCATCTAAATGATAAATGAGCGGAAATGACAAAAACTACTTGTTTTAGCGTATGAAATATGCGTAGTTTGATTTGTTATGATCAGTAATGAACGCCAAATATACATTATACATAGTTTAATCAATTTGTTTACAGTACGATAAAATGTTGTATTTTTCATCAGAACACATTATATCAGTAACAAATACATTGAGTTTTGGTTTATTATAAAAGTATTGTGATATCCGAATCTAAACGATGTCTCAGGGGAAAGGTTTCAGCAAATGCTCATAACAGATTATTTTTGAAAGACAATTGATCTGTACTTATTTTCTATTTGTGCCAGACAAACACATTGATATCATTAGAGACTTGCGAGTGAACAAATCAATATTTAATACCATATGATTCCAATGTTATATGAACATTATGTCTGTCATTTCAATTCGTTAGAGTGATAGATCATCTAAGATGGTGAGTAAAAACGTGTAAAATCCACAATAATTATCAAAAGCACTCTTGCAGTAAAATATGTATTCACAATAACAAAAACAATATGACCACGTAAACATTGTATTAATATAGAAAACCGCATTGTATAAAGGTTTAACTACCGCATTTTTCAAAATCTACCGAAAAATACCGCATTTTGGCAAATCTTCCGCAAAAGTACCAGTTTTTCAAAAAATTACTGTAAAAACGACTGCAATTTTCAAAATTTACCATAAAATTATCACATTTTTTCAAAATCTTCCGCAAAAATACCGTTTTTTTTTAAATTACCGTAAAAACTACCGCAATTTTCAAAATCTACCGTAAAACTACCGCAATTTTCAAAATCTACCGTAAAACTACCGCATTTTTTCAAAATCTTCCGCAAAACTACCGGTTTTTTAAAAAACTACCGTAAAAACTACCGAATTGTTTCAAATCTACCGTAAAACTACCGCATTTTTTCAAAATTTTCCACAAAAGTACCGGTTTTTCAAAAAACGACCGTAAAATTACCGCATTTTTTCAAAATCTACCGTAAAACTACCGCATTTTTTCAGAATATTTCGCAAAACTACCGGTTTTTCAAAAAACTACCGTAAAAACTACCGCATTTTTTAAAGCTACCGTAAAACTACCGTATTTTTTCTAAATCTTCTGCAAAACTACCGCTTTTTTCAAATTTCTACCGCAAAATTACACTTTTTTCAAAAATCTACCCCAAACCTCTGAAACTACAGTATATTTTAAACTTCTACCGCAAAAACTACCGTATTTTTTTAATTCTACCGCAAAAACTACTGTTTTTTTTAAATCTACCGCAAAAACTACCGTTTTTTTCTAAAATCTACCGCAAAAACTACCGCAATTTTGTTGAAAAATACCGCAAAAACTACCGTATTTTGAAAAAATCTACCGCAAAAATACAGCAATTTTAAAAAAATCTACCGCAAAATTTTGGTCTTAGGTTGGCAGGTATGATATTATTGTTATGTCAAGTTTTGAGTTTGACATACTGTTTCTCCTTCCTACATAATGTATAGATGGCAAGTGATTCAAAGAAAATTCTAAGTTTAGTATAGAACTAAATACAACCAATAGATGTCACCTAAATGTAATTTTAAAAACTGTGCATATCTTACTAGTTTATTTATAGATGTCATTACAATTAATTCTGTATATCACGTTGACAGCTAAACATGGAGGTTGTTTATATAGATGGAGCATGTGAAAAAAATGGCATGCCAAACTCAAGAGGAGGTATTGGAGTTTACTGGGAAAATAAAAACCTACATAACTTAAATGTGAGTGAACCCCTAAATGACCCTATTCCAACCAATCAAAAAGCAGAGCTTGAAGCTGCTATCAAAACTTTAACTCTAGCAACAAAAAACAAGATGAAAAATTTGGAAATAATGTCGGACAGTACCTGTTATTAATGGAGCCTCCGATTGGATGTACAAATGGGCTAGTAAGGGATGGGTTGGAGTAAAGAAGGTGGAACGATGGAAATTACTATTCAAGTCAATCAGGGAAAACAATATCAACATTAAATGGACACATGTAAGAGGTCACTCCGGGATACATGGAAATGAACAAGCTGACCAGTTAGCAAAACGCGGGTTGGCAAAAAACACTAACACACAATGTGAAAATAATGAGAAAAACAACTCAATAACACCAAGTCCAAGTTGCCCATATTGTAAGGAGCTGGACAATGATTATATGATCCAGTGCAACAAATGTATCAAATGGATACACTATGTGTGCACCAAACTTCCGGCATACGAGATAGCCCAGTACAAAACCAAAGTTAGACGTCAATATGTATGTGAAGCATGTTGCGCTGATAATGACGATAATGATGAAATAAAACTGATCTTAAAAAATGCTGAAAATACCAAGGCCAATACAAATGAAGTAAACATGAGTACACCAACAGTAGGAAAAACAGGAACAGTTAACACAGTCGATTGTGAAAGTGATATTCCTTGTCCCATAGATGATATTAAAACACCCACACTTCGGAACCAACCCCAATTTGACACAACTGATCTCAAGAAAACAATTGATTCTGTAAAGAAGCAATGGAGAGACACCGGAACAGACACTCCCCAGAAATTGGCTAATGTATCAAAATCTCCAAGGAAACTTATGATGACAACTGATCGTTTTGAAAAAATTGAAGCCACTCTGTGTGAATTAGTTGAGATTATATCAGATAGTTCGAAAGTAAACTCGCAGTCTGCTACATTGGAGAAATCTATGAATGACCTTACAACTCAAATGGTTGGTAAAATTAATGCGATTCAAAACAAACACGATATTTCCGGAAAGAAGCTAAAAAATATACAAAAGGAGTCAGTTAAAACAGAGGAAGCCCTTGCTTCACTCACAGTACAATTAAATGACAAGTTGGACTTAATGGCAGGAAAAATCAGTAAAATGGATGATAAAATATCAGAGATATATTTGAAAGTAGAAAACATGGGACCAAGATTAAACCAGAAGTATGGTAACAAAGAAAACCAATATGACCTAAGTATACAGGAGAAATATGATGAAATTCAAAGGAAGGTCGAAAAATTGATGGAAACGTTGCGAATCTCCTATCAGAAATGAAAGATGATAATAGGTTCCTAATTCTAAATCAGTGTGAGGAAGAATCTACATCCTCTAAAGTGAATGATTCTCCAAAAGTTTTTGTACAGGAACCACATACAACCCAGACAACAATTACCAAGGCTATTATTAATCAGGATGGGAACAACCAATCCGGACAAGTAAGTCAAGTGACTACTGCCCTCTATCCAGGAGTTTCGAAACCGACCCATGGATATAAACAACGTAGGTCTAGGAGCTCCTCTCGTGAAACTATGTCAGCAAATTGGGACAGAAGTAATCAAAACCAGGACATGACACCAACACCACGATATAGACAACGTAGGCCTAGGAGCCCATCACGTGAAACGGCATCCAGAAATTGGGATAAGAGAAATCAAACCCGGGACAGAAGAAATCAAAATCGTGACACTTCACCACCACGGTATCATGGCTCGTCACAGTATCATCAGCCACGATATTCCAATCATCAATCATCTAACAATAAACACTTTCAAGAAAATAAGCCCAATGTTACAATCATTGGAACATCAATATTGAAAAACCTCGATCCAAAACGCTTTAGCGACAAAATGACAACCAGAAACTGTACGGCTTACACAATTGACGAAGCAAGATACACACTGAATAATCTTACCACTACACCAGATGTTATTGTGTTACAACAACTATCGAATGATCTAAAACACAAACATCCTGACACATGCGTTGAAGATCTGGAATGTCTAATTAAGGATACCCATGAAGTCTACCAAAACGACAAGTTTGTAATTTCGCTACTTCCAAACAGAGGGGATAATCCGGAATACAACAAAAAAGTAGACTACATTAACTCTTGTATCGAAGACAAATATTTCGACGGCAGCTATCCCTCTTTCATATCATTGTGCAAGAACAACAAGAACACAAATGTGTACAAAATGTCCCCACCAAGTGGTGATCCCGTGAAATGGTTATCCTGAAAATGAGTAGACAAGACTTTACCAACACAATTTGAGGACAGAAAATCCAAAGTGGCCACCTTAAAATTTACCCAGAATGCCAAAAATTTAGTCAGTTCTAGATTTTGATACTAAGAACCACCCCTGAAAATTTGAAATTGATCCGTCACACAGTTAACCAGAAAACATGTAAACAAGACTTTACAGACAAGATTTCAGGATGGAAAATCCAAAATGGCTGCCTTGACATTTACCCAGAATGTCAAAAAACTAATCTGTTTGTAGATTTTCATACTAAGAATCATCCCTGAAAATATGAAATTGATCTACCAAACGGTTCACCTGAAAACGGGTAGACAAGACTTTACAGACAAGATTTTAGGACAGAAAATCCAAAATGGCTGCCTTAACATTTACGCAGAATGCAAAAAAAGTAATCAGATGTAGATTTTCATACAAAGAATCATCCCTGAAAATTTGAAATTGATCTATCAAACCGTTCTCCTAAAAACGCGTAAACAAGACTTTACAGGCAAGATTTTAAGACGGAAAATCCAAAATGGCTGCCTTGACATTTACCCAGAATGCAAAAAAACTAATCAGTTCTAGATTTTCATACTAAGAATCATTCCTGAAAATTTGAAATTGATCTACGAAACGGTTCACCTGAAAACGAGTAGACAAGACTTTACAGACAAGATTTTAGGACGGAAAATCCAAAATGGCTGCCTTGACATTTACCCAGAATGCCAAAAAACTAATGAGATCTAGATTTTTATACTAAGAATCATCCCTGAAAATTTGAAATTGATCCACCAAACGGTTCACCTGAAAACGCGCAGACAAGACTTCACAGACAAGATTTTAGGACCGAAAAATCCAAAATGGCCGACAATAAAAAAGTCCTTATGAGTTTTTGCTGATTTTTTTTTACAAAATTATCACATATAACTACTGTTAACAATAAAGTAGGCTTTTACAGCAAAGTACATCTGAAATTATTTATAAAGCTACTAAACAGTTAAAGTATGAAAACTCAAAAACACCATTCAATATGATACAAAGTATTATCGCGCGCTAACTTTTCTTAAGACATTCAAAATGGCTGACATGACTGAGCTAGCAGGTCCAAAACCTAATCAGATCTAGAATGAAGTGAGTTGAACAAGATGTTAAAGTTTTAAAAGCAACTGTGAAGCAGTTTTTCTTAAAGTTTGCAGACAAGGATTTTAGCATTTGACTTCAAAATGGCCGACAGGAAGTAGGTATCGAGTTAATTTTTTTTCATCCACATCTGTATGCACTCATAAGTTATCCCTGAAAATTTGAAGGTGATATCTGTAGCGGTTTTGGAGAAAACTGCCGGACGTACGGACAGACAGACGGACAGACGGACAGACGGACAGACGGACAGACAGACGGACGCGCCTAGGCCGACAATATGGCCCCACACTATGTGGTGGGGACATAAAAACCTATCTGATTATGAACACCAGGTCATTCCAAGACTGTTTAAAAGGGATTTATGTCACCCAAACGAAGAGGGTGAGAAACTTCTCTTCAATAACATTAAAACAAAAGTTAGGAGCATTTTAAAGTACATATGACATGTATATCAACCAAAGTTGTTCCAAACAGTTGCCAAACAAACGATTTATAGACCTACCAATAGTTGGTGATTCTAAATACTATAACTAGTATGATTTTGAACTGTGCATTGATACAATATTGGGTATATTGATGTATTTTATATAGTTACAAATATGGTAATCTACAATTGATAAGCTTATTCATAGCATATTTAGTGAAAATCAGACAATATGTCATACATGTTATAATAGTATGACTCACAACTAGATATGATAGATATAGTTACTGTTTAAAATTCATTAGGATAGAATACTTATGATGTTAAGCCTGTACACAATATTTAATGTTTTATAGGTTTAAAAGGTTAATGAGCAATGACATGACTTACATGTACATATGTTAAGCTTCGGTCTTCATTCTTTCTCTTTGATCATTTGAAACAATATAGTTCAAATGGCGATAAAAACCACGATAAATGGTGTCAAATTACTACATTGGAACATAGAAGGTATTTATAACAAAAGCATGGACAATCAAAAAATTAATGACGAGGAATTCCTAAAGACTATCAGGGGGCATGACATTGTGGCATTAAATGAACTACATATCAAGCCGGGTACATTTATAAATATTGACGGGTATAAACAAATTATCAATGCCAGAAATAAACATAAAAAGGCGACTAAATTTTCAGGTGGGGTGGCAATATTTGTAAAAAATGAAATATGGTCAGGAATTGAGTTACTAAATATCACTCAAAGTAGTGACCGGATTTGGATTAAATTAAAACGAAGGTTTTTCAATTTCCAACGGGATATTTTCATAGCCTCAGTTTATATACCACCCCTAAATTCAACTTACAGTAAAAATAACAACTTACAAGCATTTGAAGATATTGAGGAGGAGATGATATCTTACTCTAATAAAGGGGATATAATCATTCTAGGTGATCTTAACTCTAGAACTGGGGATTTAACTGATTTCATACAAAATGGTCATGACAACCACGATGGAGCCTCTTCTTGTCTACCCCACGATGACACCTCTTTACTAAATAGGTTTAATCAAGATAAGGTAGCATGTTCTCAGGGTAGAAAATTAATTGAATTATGCAAATCCTCTCAATGTCGAATACTTAATGGAAGAACTTTTGGAGACTTAAGCGGCAAATTAACTTGCCATCACTATAACGGTTCTAGTTGTGTTGACTACATAATTACTCATCAGTCAATTATGGACAAAATCAAATATTTCAAAGTTCATGAATTCAATGGGGGTCTGTCAGACCACTGTGCTGTTTCCTGTTTACTGGCAGCTAAATATTCAAAGAATAATAACAAAAAGGATAACATAAATAATTTGAACAAACTACCCAGAACTTTTGTGTGGGACAACTCAAGATCCCAAGTGTTCAATGAACAATTAAGCAAATGTCTAAAATCTACACAGTTTGATGATGTTGACATAAACAATGATGTAAATAAGCTCACTCAAATTATTATGCATGCTGCTAAATCTTGTTTAATACCAAAAACGTATAAGAAAAACAAACGGAAAACTAAATCTTGGTTTAACAAGTCGTGCTCTGAGATAAAACGCGAGCTTTTAAGACTAGGGAAAAAACTAGCATGTACCCCATCCAACAATAATTTAAGGGAATCTTTCTACAAAAAGAAGAGGCAATTCAAGAAAAAATGCAAACAAGAAAAAAGACAATACAAACAACTGATTCTTAAAAAGATAGAGGACTTAAATGAGAATAATCCAAAAGAATACTGGAAATTATTGGACAAGTTAAGAAATATTTCAAAAAACAATGATGTGAATAATTCATCTTTATCTCCTGAAGATTGGACTAAACATTATGATTCACTTCTAAACAATAATAACTATAAGGATCCTGATCTTCAGAAAAAAATTGAAAATCTAGTAAATGAACCGCACTCAAGTGTACTCGACGATGAAATAACAAATATTGAAATTGACCGTGTCATTAGAGATCTTAAACCTAACAAGGCTATTGGTCTGGACAGTATTAGCAATGAAATGATAAAAAACTCTAGTCACTTGCTAACACCTTACCTAAAAATATTATTTAATAAAATGTTGAGTAACAATGTATATCCAGATTTATGGAAGACTGGCTATATTACTTCGATCTTTAAATCAGGGGACCAGTCATTAGAAACCAATTACAGGGGTATTACAATCAACTGTTCTTTGAGTAAAGTTTTAAATAGTATCATAAATAACAGGATAGTCTCCTTTCTGGAGTCAAAGAAAATTAAAACTAGATTCCAGATTGGGTTTGAAAAAGGTGCGAGGACATCAGACCATATGTTTGTTCTCAACACCCTGATAGATCTTAGTAAAAACAGAAAGAAACCATTATACGCTGTTTTATCGATTTATCTAAAGCATTTGATTCTGTGTGGAGACAGGGCTTATTCTATAAACTTTTAAAATACGGGATCAAAGGGAACCTATTTAAATTAATGTCAACAATTTATGAGGACACCAAATTTTGTATTAAACATGAGCTGAACATAACAAATTTTGAAACATTTAATAGCGGCGTTAAGCAGGGAGATACTTTGTCGCCTTGTCTTTTTAACCTGTATCTGAACGACTTGCCAGAAGTATTTGAAGGTAAAGAGAATTTATTTAATCCCCCGAAACTATCAAGTACATCAATAAATTTGCTCCTATATGCAGACGACATAATCCTGTTATCTGAATCAAAAGAAGGTCTACAACACTCATTAAACCATTTAGAAACATACTTAGATAACTGGAAACTTTCTGTTAATACTTCAAAATCCAAAGTTATCAAGTTCCAAGCAAATGGCAAATTAACTCAGGATACTTTTTGGTACAAAAACCAGCCCTTGGAATGCGTAAGGGAGTACAAATACTTGGGTATTACTTTCTCAATCACAGGAAATATGAAAATAGCAGAATCTAAAATATATGACAAAGGTTTGAAAGCAGTCTTTAAGCTTAAAAGGTGGCTCAAGGATTCTACTCCTAATCCAAAATTAAGTATTAAGTTATTTCGACAATTAATTAATCCAATCATAACATATGGAGCTGAAATATGGGGCATCAAAGGACTCAGTAAACCGAATGATTTTGCCAGCTTTATTTCAAAATTTGATAAGAATCCAATAGAAAAACTTCATTTATCTTTCATGAAACACATTTTAGGAGTTAACAAGAAAGCAACCAATCTTGCAGTATTAGGGGAATTAGGCCAGTACCCAATTATGATTGATATTTTCACAAAAAC